AAGAAAAATAAAAAAAATAATAATTTACCGAGAATTCCTAAGAGAGAGATACATTATACTGTGTAGTTGAATCAAGTATATTCCGTAATTACGAATATTATGGGTGAAATAAAATAATCCCATAAACGATCATCAATGCGATATTATTACTCTCTAAGATTAATCCTAAAACATTTATGATTAGTTTACTTACTGCTACTACTACCGTTGCTCTTCCTATTGCAGCTGTCGATTGCTGCTACTGGTTTGTTTTCTAATACTAATAGTTGACCTTCGGCGCAAATGCATTGAGAATAATAATGATTATCATTTAATCATAACTCCACCCTTTCCAAGTTACTCGGTAAACGTGTTGTCAGTTCGTTCCTTTTTCTCCCCCCCCCCCTCCTTTATTCTACGTTGGAATCTTAATTCTTATACTAAAAAATATAAATAAAAATAAAAGAATAAAAATAATAATATTGTCTTTTTCTCTTAAGGTTTGGGTGTGGGGGGGGGAGTATTTTAAGGGGAGATAGGTAAGGTTAAATAATATCTATAATCATTGAAAATCTGAATTATTCCTACGAGTTAGAAAATCGATGGAAAGAAACCGAAACGAGGTGAATTTTGTGGACAAAAACGAATGAGATAAGAGAGAATGAGAATGAGAGAGAGGGAGAGAGAGAGAAAGAGAAATTCCAATCCTCCTTTCTAACGATTTTCTTGCTTCCTTTTCTCGCTCACGATGGAATCTCGGTGAAGCGTAAAACCGTTGACGATGAAAATAAGAAACGTGGAAGCAGAGAAAGGCAATAGATGAGAAGAAGGAGGAGGAGTTGGGGGAGGGGGAGGAGAATAAGAGAGCTTCAACGCTATACTATAGAGATGCGAGTAAAATGATTCAGCTCCAATGAATTTCTGCATTGACTTTAAACTAACTGTCTTTTCATCGTCATTTGTTAATACAAAATTTTATTTTTCTTTTTTTTTCTCTTCTTATTATTTTTAATCGAAAACAAACGGATGTTCCAAAGAAGTTTTTTTTATCAATCTATGATGATTTTGTAAACTAGTATTGTAAACGTCATTATAAGATATAATTTATGAGAATATTTTTGTATTATCGTTTGATATTTGCGAAATAATTTATTTACGTATCATTTTTAAAAAAAAAAAGAAAAAAAGTCAACGCAAAGATAATTGATCGAATGATCGTGAAACGAATTTTGTATGGAAATTATTAATGGTTGGTTTATGGTTTGGAAATGATAATTGTTATTGTCAAGGTAAGACTAGTTAACATTATTAATATCGATGATTACTTTTTCCTTCCACCTTTCTTCGGTTTTTTTTTTTGATCTCGTGAAGATACAAGATAAGCATCGATTAAATCGGTGGTTCTTAAATTATGTTCCATGGAACCCCATGGGGTGGATTTAGCGAATTGTTCTTTGGGTAAATTACATTGGATTAATATCATTTGTCGTATTTGAAAAATAATGATTGAATATCGAAACTCGAAAATATTAATTTATTAACGTGTATCTCTCTCGTAGAAATTTTGGATTGTATATTTAATCTCTTGCGTTATTTGTACCGAGGAAAGGTTTCGTAAAATAATTTTTAACGCTCGAAACATTATTGAATTAATTGAAAATTGATATTTAAAAACAAAAAAAAAACATGAAAAAAAAGTTCCGTGCATCGATAAAACGAACGCTACGCGGAATTAATTAATTAGATTAATTAATTAGATTAGATCGATCGAACGAAGATGATAATAGACATGATGGTCGTCGTTGGTTTAAAGTCGTTTACTAAGCCAGTCTTCAGCCTTTTAAACTACCACCTACGTACTTTAAAGGTTTCTTATTTTTTTTCTTTTTTCTAAACGTAAATTTTGATCAAACAAAATGATCGAGGTGAGATCGTCGAGGACTTTATTAAAAATATTCTCATCGAACGTATTGATATCGTACAATTAAGTAATTGAATATCACCTTTTATTTATATATTCATTTTTTCTCTTTAGAAAAAAATCCTGTACTCCATAAATATTGTTATGAAAATAAATTTAGTTTATAAAAGAAAAAAAAAACATTTAGAAGTTTGTAGGGATGAGAGATAGATCAGAAAAGGATCTTAATTATCTATCACTTTCATCTTGTTCGGTACGAAAATGGTTTGATCGTAAGTAAGAGAATTTTTGTAACTACTTGGTTGGAAATTTATAAAAAAAAAAAAAAAAAGAAAAAAAAAGAAAAAAAAAGAAAAAAGAAAGAAAAAGGTAAAAAATATTCGATCGAAGGCGCGATAAAGGTTGAAGCACGTACAGGATTATCGTAAAGGCCGTCGTTATCTCATTATTTTCCCGCGGAGTTACACAAAACAACGAGCGTCTTCAACATGGCGGCCATTAATGTACAGCTCTTTAAAGGGATAATATCGGGACTTGTATCCGGCGGATTAACGAGGGCCCGTACGAGATATCGTCGGCACTTTGCGGTCAAGAAAAAGTGTTGATACACGACGATAAATAGCGAACGACGATGATGAGTTTCGAAACATCTTCATTCTCTGCGACGTAGTAGTTCCATTCTTTAATCTATAATAATAAAGTTTTCGTTTTTTCTTTTCTTTTCTTCTCTTTTTTTTTTTTTTTGGTTATTTCTGTTCTTACATTTTTATTATTGTTATAAATACCGTTCCGTATATACGAGTTTTAATTATTCGCTATAATTAAAATCAAAGTACGAAAGGTATAACATTTAATTTAAGAGTGTAATAATAAAATAATTTTCTTTACGAAGAAATATCGTGAGATTGTAATACGATTGTAGATCTTTTTTTCATTATAAATTATCTAAGTAATTATCTTTTTTCTTATCGCAATGGTTGAAATTTTAATATGAGATATTTTTTTATATTCTGACTACTGGCTTCATCTATATTAGAAAATTAATTCCGACCTGACATCTCGCGGTCGCGATCTCAAACCAAAATATTGATATACCGATCGCGAGTCGCGTTCTACCTTACCGACGATCGCTGTAAATTTGAAATAAATTTTGTCATTATTCAATTGAAAAAAAAATAACGACAAACCCTCCGTCACGTTTTGTTCTTTTTATTTCAACAGATAAGGCGATATACTTTATTTAAATTAATGTAAATTATACACAAACACGAGAGAGTAACGTCGATGTGTTTAAGCCGGCTTTTCATCATCGAACGATCTCTAAAACTAAAAGTAGCATAATCAATATTGATATATATCTACAAGTAATAATAAAAATCAAATAATTATACAATAATATTAATAATAATGTGTTTATCGAAGATATGAATTTGATAGAATTTCGAGTATGAAAAAAGCGGAATATCTTAACACTTTACTGACCGGCCGCTCAGCTGCAGATACTCTCAAACGACCGCTGTTTTTCGGCCTACACTAGCGTACAGGAGTATCTGTGCATTTCGTATGCTCAGAGAGAGTTGTCCACTTTCTGTTATTACAAGATATATTAGGATATACAGGATATTACAGGGTAGGATAATTAAATTTAATAAAATGTTGATAACAACAATGCAAAACAAGCGATTGTTCGGTAAGCGTGGTAATAAAAAGAACCGATTAATAATCGATCGGTCGGTTAGCGTTGTCGATACAAAAGCCGATTAATAGGCGATCGGTCAATAAAGTGTTAACAAAACGATTCATTAAAATCCAATCGAAGTAATTGCTTCTTTAAACGTATAATAATGAAATTATCAAAATGATGATAATAATGATGATGATGACAATAATAATAATAATAATAATAATAATAACTTATATCGATAATGATAATTATTAATAATAATAATAATTAGAACCTGTTTGCCTGGAACTTGCCACTTTCGACATAATTAAAAAAATTTCATGG